CCCTTTCAAAAGTAACCCCCAAGCTCTCCCCTGCCCCCAGAAAAACACAAACCACCACCTTCTGTTTCCTCCCGCTTTGTCTGCAGAGCACCTTACCTCTTTCTTTGTGCCAGGCACCTGCTGACATTGTTGTTTTTAGGGTCTTTCCTATTACCCCAATAGCTTATCAAAGTATTTTCTCAGAAAGTTCCTTCTCTCCTTGGAAATCTGGCACAGCTGTTAGAATAATAACTCTTTTCTTCTTTTTTTACTTTGCCTGTAGCCGTCGAGTCGATTCCGGCTCATAGCAACCCTGTAGGACAGAGTAGAACTGCCCCATAGAGTTTGCAAGGAGCACCTGGTGGATTCTAACTGCTGACCTTTTGGTTAGCAGCCATAGCTCTTAACCACTACGCCGTCACGTTTCCTTTTTTAGTTACGCTGAAATAATTTGTTTACTTCAAGGGCTGCTAATTTTCAGATTTCTTCCTGGTCTTCATTTCTCTTTTGTTAAACTGTTATATGTCATTACTGAACTACTTCCGTTGTTTATTTAAACACCACCACCCCCCCTTCTTTTTTATCCTCAAGCTTTCTTCCATGTGCTCTTTCAAAAAGGCCCTTATTCTTGACCTCTAGAACCTTGGACTTGATTCAAGTACTTTCCTCAAAGTAACCTTTTCCTTCTCAAATGGATAAGACGGGCAGAACTGAACTATCAAAACTGCCAGCTACATTGGTCTGGATTACTTGTTTTATTTCGTTTGCTTGAGTCAGAATCAACTCGACGACAATGGGTTTGGTTTGGTTTTGGAGGCAAGTACTTCTGCGTGTCGGCTGATAACGTGATCAATACTTAACAAATAAAAATCACTTGTCATTCATAGCATGAGGACTCAGCAGCTACAGCTATGCGCCCCTGACTTTTTAAGTCAGTGTTTGTCACCTTCTAATTTTGTTCTTCACCACCGATTTGTCAGTTTCAGTGGTCCTTCCAGACTAAGAGAGATAAGGAAGACAGGCCTGGCGATCTGCTGAAAATGAGGCAACGAAAACCATGTGGACAACAACAGAATATTGTTGGATAAAGTACTGAAAGATGAGCCCCCTAGGTTGGAAGGCACTCAAAATAACAGCGGTCAAAACAACGAACTCGAGCAAACCATGATCACCAAGATGGCGCGGGATCTGGGTTCTGATGAGAATGATCTCGCTGGCTGGCTGTGAGACTTGAGGCAGGTTGCTCAACCTTTTAGTCTCGGTTTTCTCCTGTATAAAATGGGCATGTTGTAATTGCTAGCCACCATAGCCCTATTCATGATGACCCCGTGCAGAAAAGAACAAAATGCTGCTTGGTCCTGCGCCATCCCCATG